CGTAAACTAATTAAGGAAGCTGAGAATAAGCGGAGAACAGGGTGAGAAGTGTGAAGGCAGAGCAAAAGAAGCACAAGATTGGTACCGGATCTGAACAAACACATAGCAATAACCATAACAGATTAGAAAATAATTAACAGAGGTAGATCAACTATATTTTCATTTCATTAACAACAACAAACAGAAAATATAAACATGATCAGTAGATAACATACCTGTAGCCTGCGGCTATACTAAGGAAGCTGCAGAGAGAATAAGCAAAGAAAAAATGAGAAGTATAAAGCTTATGGAGTATAGAAAAGGAAGACCTATATTTTTCTGCAGGCAAGTAGAATTATTGACGCACAGGTGTTTTGTTTTGGGCATCTTTTTCTTTCCAGTTGCAAGTTGCTTGGAAAAGCAGAAAAAATTTAAAAATGAAAAAGAAAAAGTAGATAGGATAGAAATAGAATCCAAAGTTGATGGGCATAAAGCAATAAAGCACGCAACAAGTAACAGTAATCGTAATTATGAATTTTTGAATCAAAATTTTAGGTTTAATTATTTGTTTTCAAATTTTAATATTTTAATTTAATTAAATAAAAATTCAACTCTGATTAACAACTTAAAAAAAATTTATATTTAAAAAAAATTATATATCTTTGGTACATTTTATTAAGTTGAGGAAGACCTTGGCGTCGGGGAGTTAATGTAGAAATATTGATGCAGTAGGTGGGTAGATAAAAAGGCGTTGCAATTTGCCATATTATAAACAGAAGGATCCAAAAGTGACAGCTGTGTATGAAATTTAAAAATTGCGCACTAACTTTTCTATATAATCATTGAACCACACAAATTTTTTAATTTTTAACTTTTATCTAAAATAAAAAATTTTAAATTAAACAGTTTAACTAAACTTTTATCAATAAAATGGCGGACTGATATAAAACAAAAACTGCATGGGAGACTGGATATTAAAAATTTGTTGATGATGAAACTTTTTTGGTGTTAAAAAGGAAATATTTCTGCTGCTACCACCACTGCCCTCTCCGAGGGACGGACGAAAGAAGGCCCAGGGTTGGGCACAGACCCAAATTTGGGCCTCAGAAAGAAATTAGTAAAGAAAGGACGTATCCTTTTGGCCCACAAAAAAGGAACATGCTGATTGACATTGTTAAACTTAACCCTATTACATGTAGGCCTTAAATCATAACCTATGTCTGGCCCAGTAAAAACCTAATGTTCTGCTGCTTCTTTTATTTCTACTCCCTTTAATTTAATCCGAAATCTTTTGCAATGGTGTGCTATCGTTATATAAAGAGCTATCTATGTTATTTTATTTTAGTCATTATTTGTATATGTAATTATCATTATATTTTTTACTTTAATTTTTCTCTATTAAATTGTTTGTACTAATAAATATGTTGAATCAAAACATAAAACGTACAACTTATTAATATTATTATTTAGTACTTTTTCATTTACATTAGGCCAAAAAAAGCCTAATGTTCTGCTCCAACTTTAATTTTTATTTTGTTTAATTTAAGTCAAAACACATTTTGTCTCTTTTGAATTTTGATTCTGAGGGCTGTGGTTCTGATGAAAATTTAAGTTTTAATCAAAGAACAAAATATACAAGCTGCCCATTCTACTTAATCTCAGTCTCATGACAAATTCTTCTGCTACGGTTATCCATGCACAATGAGTCCCTTGTAAATTCAAAAATAAGAATATTCAATTAGGTTCTAAATTTGCAAATGTGCATTTATTTATTTAGATTAACTCATCGAATACTTTTATGATTTTAAATTAAAGTGACATGTTTTGTTGTTAATGCAAGAACCCTTTCCCATGGGTACTAATGTTCGATCAAGACCTAGAAAGCCTTGAACAGCTAGCCCTTGGAATAAAAGTCAGGAACGTTCCAATAGGGTAGGCTTTTGGTCAAGTTATCCTAAGGACTTTGACAAAGATATCTACTTTATTAATTGATAGGTTGAAATTTTATAGATATTAATATTAATATAAGAAATACTAGAAAAATGTGTTGAGATGGCAATTTTTATCTTAATATTAATTGGAAGAAATCAAAAATTTCAAGACAAAATCAAATAAATCAGAACTGTGAGTATCAAAATGTCCATCAATGAAGAATGAGGGACCAAAACAGTTTCCCTAATGAAAATCCCGACGCGGGTCGCTTTCACAAATTATTATACGTGTCGAGACGTTAATCTTAGGTGCCCATCCTTTGCTTTGTCTGTGCTCTTGTACGGATGAAATTCTATTTTCTCTAGCGTCCGTCTCACTTCATTTATTATTAGAGTTTTTTAAATTCTATAAATACTTCTTGATAAAAAAAAAATTATAAATATTTATTTAAGAATCTGATCTTTCGGGTTAAGTGGCTCTAACCACGCTTGTAAGGTTCATGTCCCCTCTCTCAGGGCAACGGTTCGAGCCGACCCCATAACAAAATGTTCAAAAAAAAAAAAAATATTTATTTAAGGTTATAATTGGGATGTCCTAGAAGATTTTTTTGTTAACTTTTTTAGAAAATTATTGGAGATCAAGACAAAATGAGGTAATAAAATATTTATTAATAATAAAAAATAAAATATTTTAATTTATTTAAATTAATTTTTTTGAATTATTTTTATTTATTAATTAATATTTGTATATTTATAATTATGATTTTAAGTTTTAATAGTTTTATTATGAATTAATTTAATTAATAATAATTACGATGTAGCTTAATAAATTTATTATAAATTTTATGACTTTTATGGTTTGAGATCTATTATTTTATAATAAGTATACATTATTATTTTAATACTTTTTAATACTTTATCACTAGTAAAATTAACATAGAGAATATAATTAAAACTAGGGCTTAACCCCCTAAGCCCCTTCTAACTTGTTGTCTTTGAGACTATTGATCTCCTAACATTCAATATAAGAAAATTGGCCCCTAGACTACACTTGATAAAGGTGATTGACCCAACATGGACGGGAGTCGTCACTTGGCCGTCATTATTCTGTTAACCCACAACTTGTGAGCACCTTGTTGGCACAAAATTGCCATGTCAACACCATTTTTTGGTATTGCTAGCATTTTAATTAATTTTATATAAATATAAATAAAATAACAAATTAAAAATTAATAAGCTAATTACAAAATATAAAAGTACAAATATGCCCTTAACCATTCATCTCTTTCAAACCTTTCCCTTCACTCTCCCAATGGTACTTATTCACAGAACCCAGCAATTTCCACCACAATCGTCCTCAATTTCAATTTTATCTAAAATCAAAAGAGAAGTACAAAGAAGTGCAGCGAATAACCTCCTTTAATTTTCTTTCTCTCTCTCTCTTTTTTTTTTTTAAATATAATATAGCCCCAATAGATGTCATTAAAAATTTAAGCAAAAAAAACAAAAGAAAAAAGATGCCATTAGAAATTGTGATGAACCAGAACACATGGTTATCAATTCTAAACCATAAATTGCAGTTAGAGAAAAAAGAAATGAAATCCAAGGCTAGAATTGGACCAAACAGAGAACATCATTCAGATAAAAACTTATCCTATATCAGATATGATTTCTATGTCTAAAAAAAAACTAATTAAACTCAAAAAACACCTAGAATCAAATAGTAATTTTATTGCTCTCGAATTTTCTGTACAAATTCCTTTCCCCCTCTTTCTTTGTTACCAAGCCTAAAACTTTCTTTGGTTCCTAATTTTTGTTATTCATCCAGCTTGGGCTCTTGGTGTGGACCTAGATCTGTTGCCATTGAAGGGACATAAGGGGAAGGGAGAGAGATAGAGAAGATAAAAGAGAGAAGGTGGAGGTTTGGGAAAGGAGGAAGGGAGATAAAGAAAGGGGAGAGCAAAGGGAGGAAGGCAGATGAAGAGATTTTTTTTTTTCTTTTTTTTTTAGGGGGCTGTTTTGTTTTTTATTTAATTAC